TAATTTTTGTATATTTAGTAGACACGGGGTTTCACCACGTTGGCCAGGCTGGTCTCAAATTCCTGACCTTAGGTGATCTGTCCATCTTGGCCTCCCAAAGTGCTGGGATTACAGACGTGAGCCACTGCCCCCCGAGCCTTATGCCATTCCTTGACATTCATGTTTATGACATCTTTGACTTACTTGATAACATGTCTTGTACCATAGTGCTGGAAATGCTAAACTGTGTTCAGAATTTCCACATCCTTCTTAAGTGAAACTTTGCCAAGCCAGTAAACCTATGATAATACAGTAATGAAATCGTATCCCAGTATCTCATTTCTAGTGCCATGATAGTAACGTTTTATCGTGTCATCTTCAGAGGGGCTTAACCTCAATGATTCTGTCAGTAGTAATGGACACATTCAATTAATTCAGCAGGAAGTTCTGTCTTAAAGCTCATTCTCTTCCCCCATGCAGAGAGTGAGGACAAGCTTCTGCAACAGGGGTGATTAGCAAAACTTCTGATATTCAGAAAATAGTTATCATCCCTCTCTTGTTCTTTCTCTCACTCCATGTGTATGTGAGAGACACACACATACATATTTAATATGTTTATATAAACGTTAACATATATTTAATATTTCAGTTCTTTTCTCAATGCTCTTGATTAATAATGAGGGGCAGTAGAAGTCATCTACAGAGATATACAAAGTTTACTTTAACTGTATCCAGATTTAGAATTGTTTTAATCATTTGAAATCTGAGTTTCAACATTTTTTAAAAGCAATAGATGCAGCCGGGCATGGCAGCTCACGCCTGTAATCCCAGCACTTTGGGAGGCCAAGGGGAGCAGATCACGAGGTCAAGAGATCAAGACCATCCTGGCCAACTTGGTGAAACCCTGTCTCTACTAAAAATACAAAAATTAGCTGGGCATGGTGGCGTGCACCTGTAGTCCCAGCTACTCAGGAAGTTGAAGCAGGAGAATTGCTTGAACCCAGGAGGCAGAGGTTGCAGTGAGCCAAGATCGTGCCACTGCACTCGAGCCTGGCACTGGTCAAGACTCTGCCTCAAAAAAAAAAAAAAAAAAAAAAGCAATAAATGAAAGGCTTCAGAGTGTAAAAATTTTAAATATGATATTAAATTGCAAGCCTCAAACAAAATCTCTGCAGTGGTTTTAAATATGTTGCAGGCTTCTACTCTAAAAACATGAAATCTAGATTTCATTAAAGTATTACTAGAATATGGCTTTAGTTGTTAATAAAAAAAAAATCTAAATAAAATACAACTAGTTTTTATGACAGTTTCAAAGGGAAAAAAACCCACAGTGGATTCTATAGGAGTTAAAGGCTGAATCTTTTGTTTCCTTCTCTCTGAATTTGTACCAGTGATTGACAACCACGAAGCAGAAAAAGATTAATGCAGAATATGTCAGTATAGGACATAAATTCTACACTTCATAAAACATTTTTTCACAGAGATTTAAAAAAGAACATTATCAAGAGAACACAACCCCTAGGTAATAAATGTTAATATTTACATCAATATATAATATACCATAAATATTAATATTTAAATAGCAGTGGAAATAATCTAAGGAAAAACTGTCAATTTGACTGGGCTACAGGATGACTCAGATATATGGTCAAATGTTATTCTGTGTCTGTGAGGGTGTTTTTGAATGAGATTAACATTTGAATCTCTAGCTGAGTAAAGCCCACTACACTTCCCAATGTGGATGGTCCTCATCCCCTCAGTGGGAGGCCAGAATAGAACAAAAAGGCTGAGCCTCCCATGAGTAAGGGGGAGCTCCTTTTGCCTGACTGTGTGAGCTGCGACATTGGTCTGTTCCTACCTTCTTAAATGAATTAAAACATTGGCTCTTCTTGAGCCTCAAGGCTGCAAGTTTTTGGACTATACCTACCTCTGCTGGGTCTCCAACTTGCTGACTCCAAATGTCCATACTAATCAGCTTCTGTAATTATCTGAGTCAATTATCAATTCTTTAGACAGTCCCCAACTTACAATGGCTTGAAATGATTTTTCAGCTAATGATGGTGTGGGCTGTTTAGTTTTTATTTAGTAAACTGACAATGACTTTGGCTAAAATAATAAAGATTACCTTTTGTTTTTTACTTTCAACATAGTATTTAATAAATTACATTAAATATTCAACACTTCATTATAAAATAGGCTTTGTGTTAGATGATTTGGCCCAACTGTAGGCTAAATGTATGCTAATGTAAGTTTTCTGAGCACGTTTGAGGTAGGCTAAGCTAAGCTATGAGGCCCAGTAGATTAGATGTATTAAATACATTTTCAACTTGTCAGAGACATGTGAACCAGAGCAACTCCATCTTAAATAGGAGCTGGGTAAAATGAGGCTGAAATCTACTGGACTGCATTCCCAGATGGTTAAGACATTCTAAGTCATAGAATAAGACAGGAGGTCAGCACAAAATACAGGTCTTAAAGACCTCGCCGATAAAACAGGTTGCAGTAAAGGAGCCAGCAAAAACCCACCAAAATTAAAATGGCGACGAGAGTGACTCTGGTCGTCCTCACTGCTACACTCCCACCAGCGCCATGACAGTTTACAAATGCCATGGCAACGTCAGGAAGTTACCCTATATGATCTAAAAGGGGAGACATGAATAATCCACTCCTTGTTTAGCATATCATCAAGAAATATCCATTAAAATGGGCACCCAGCAGCCCTCAGGGCTGCTCTGTCTATGTAGTAGCCATTCTTTTATTCTTTTACTTTTTAATAAACTGACTTTCCCTTTGCACTGCAGAATCACCCTGAATTCTTTCTTGAATGAGAGCCAAGAACCCTCTCTTGGGGTCTGGATCTGGACCTCTTTCCTGTAGCAAACTTATGATGGGTTTATGGGGACATAACCTGTCACAAGTTGAGGCACATCTGTGTGTGTGTGTGTGTGTGTGTGTGTGTGTGTGTGTGTGTGTGTGTGTCTGTGTAGACAGAGATAGAAAGAGAGAGATAGTACTCTAGAGAAACCTTACTAGTAACATATGTAGAACAAACTAAACAAAACCATCTCTATATTATGTCACACCTAACTTATTGCTTTCCACTCTGGTACTATTGTTGAATAAATGAACAACTGTCACACAGTTACAAAATGATACCTTTTCCATTTTTATGACCAATTCAATCAGAAAAGCAATCTTAATAGGAAACTATGGTCCACCTCATAAAAGCACATTTTATTTTTTTACTTTGTAGAATAGGTACTGTCAATTCTATTTTGAACATTAACCTAAAGATTGACACCCATACTAGTTGTAGTTTATGAATTGTGTTTGGTCAGCAAATAAAAGGATATAATTTTTGCTAATTTTAAAAATCACTTGGCCCAGCCCAGTGGCTCACAGCTATAATCCCAGCACATTGGGAGGTCAAGGAAAAGGATCATTTGAGCCCAGGAGTTCAAGATCAACCTGGACAACATAGCTAAACCCCATTTCTTTTCTTTTTTTTTTTAAATGGGTATGCCTATAATTGTCCTATAATGGAGACATGAAAGAAAATGAGGGAAGAGAATAACAAACAAGGAGCCAACCAACATTTCGTTTAAACTTCTAAGTTGATATGATGTGGTACTGATAAGAGTGTATATTTTGTGTATTTAAAGTGGAGAGTTCTATAAATGTTAACTACGTTTACTTGTTCCAGATCTGAGTTCAAGTCCTGGATATCGTTGCTTAATTTTCTGTCTCATTGATCTGTCTAATATTAATGGCTAAACCCCATTTCTACAAAAAAATTTAAAAATTTGCCAGGTATAGTGGCACGCCTATGGTCCCAGCTACTAGGGAGGCTGAAGTGGGAGGATCAGCCGAGCCTGGGAGGTAGAGGCTGCAGTGAGCTCTGATCACACCACTACACTCCAGCTTCAGCAGCAGAGTGAGACCTCACCTGTCAAAAAAATAAATTTATTTATACGAACTAGTTCCTTTAACATGAAATAATGTTCCCATATGTGCATACTCCATTGATTCACAGGAAAAAACTTGATGCAAGGATGAGGGATACATAAAGGAAGAATTTCTCCAGTATCTTTCAATCTTTTTTTTCTTTTCTTTTCTTTTTTTTTTTTTTTTTTTTGAGACTGTGTCTCCTTCTGTTGCCCAGGCTGGGGTGCAGTAGCACAATCTTGGCTCACTACAACCTCTGCCTCCCAGGGTTCAAGCAATTCTAGCAGCCTCAGCCTCCCGAGTAGCTGGGATTGGGATTACAGGTGCCTGCCACCATCCCCGGCTAATTTTTTTTGCATTTTTTAGTAGAGACAGGGTTTCACCATGTTGGCCAGATTGGTCTTGAACACCTGACCTCAGGTGATCCACATGCCTAGGCCTCCCAAAGTGTTAGGATTACAGGCGTGAGCCACCGTGCCTGGACCAGTATCTCTCAATGTTGATTTCAGGGTTAGAGTCTTCTTGGCCCTGACTTTGTGACCACATTCACTGGTTATCTCCATGCTTGCTCTGGAGTCATGAGGCTAGGGAGGCCTAGGGCTGCTGGCTCACTGGGAAGCACTCGCAGTGGGAGAGAGCAGACTCTGCCCTTGGGGGTGGTTTTAGGTCCACATCCCTGGAGGGCCAGGAATTGGCAACTACTCTGTGATGTATGTCGTGTTTTCGCCACTCTAACTCATTACTTTGATATCTTGTCAGTATTTGTGTTAGAACAGTACATCCTAAAATGGCATTTTACATGTAGCTGCTTTGTGCATTTAGCTTTTGTAATACAAAACTATTATCCTTAAAAAATGTCATTTAAGTACAAGCTTTAAAAAGACTTTCAGAAATAGTTACCAATTTAGGGATATACCTGGGATCTGACATTATTCTTTTTAATCAAAATTTTAGCCCCATGGAAAAAAGTAGCAGTAGACACTTGAGATGACAGTGACATCTCTTTTTTTTTTTTTTTTTGTATGTACAAGACTCAAGTAAATAGAAAGTCAGCTTTCAATAATAAATCAGATAGTAGTCTTTCAAACTCTACTGTGGAAGCATATTTAATGCACACATTTGAATGTTATGCATAAATAATTTTAACTATGGAGTCCAAGTTCTGGGTTTTACATTAGATTTGCATATATAAGACACTTGCGGTCAAATTTCAAGATTGGTAAAGCCAATTTCAAGCTGCTTATATTTTGAGTACAGGTTTCACTATTACAAATATATGATGTTTAACTAACAAATCAGTGACCTGCGAAGATGTCTTCGTCCCATGCATATACATTTGAAATCCGAGTCCATTTGATATTTCCCTTCTTCTATAATCTTCAAATTATAGTTGTTACACATTGAGTTCTCTATTCATCTCACCCATCTCCTTTACCTCAGCCTTCTGATACTTTGCCATTCTCTTCTTTCTGGAAACAACCAGCACAACAATTCCAGCAACAATTGCTATCACTACAACCACAATAACAGCATTAACACCAGCTTTTAGACCCTGCATTGAGAATTCAGGTGCTTTTTCATCAACACAATAAATTAAAGTTTGACCAGGATCCAGATCCGGCTGTTCCCCATTTACTCTCAGGTCCATTTTCTTAGAAGAATGAAACAAGGATTCACCTTTAACATCTTTTTCAAAATAGTAAGCCACATCAGCTCTGTCCACATCATTCTGAGTTTTTTGAGAAGAATTTTGAACCAGATCAATAGTAATAACATTATTCTCATACATAACATTTGTGATAAATTTTTGATCCAGGTGATAACGTGTTGTGATTGCCTCCCGAAGCGCAGCCTGCAAACTTTGAACATCGTAAGGTTTTTCTCTTGCTTTGTGTTTTAGTTCAATGATGATCCAGAAGATTCTCACTCGCTCGGAGCAGGTTAGTTCAGTGTCCTTGTCTGTTCTTCTGACCCCAGCAGTGTTCACACACCAGCACGTGGAGGTGCCATTGCACTGCTTGGCTTTAAAGAGCCCGCTCTCATCACAGTCGGGGTCATAAAGCCCATCATTGTTCTGGAGGGCCCCTTCAGGTTTTGCTCTTCTCCCATGTTTTGAGTTAGTAATTTCCGCCTTCATCACCACACATTTGGAAGCCAACTTTGAGCAAATGATGGTATTTTGTGAACCAACTGAAGTACACTGGCATCATATCCTTTTGTGTGGATAGGTTTTAACTTCTAAAATCATCTCTTACCTCATTCTCTTACTTTTAAGAAAGAAAGTTTCATTTTACCTTGGCACGTCGTGACTGCTGACATGATTTCCGACATACCATCAAATAGAATCATCTTGAAGAAGGTAGAAGGGGAAGTGGAGGGAGAAAAACCAGATTATCAGAGGCTCTGGTAAACATTTGATAGAAATCACTGTCTCCCTTAGTCCTCAAAAAACTCCACAAACCACGTATTGTGCATCTTGCAAAAGCAGAAACACAAAGCAGAAAGGTCAAGCAACTTGCCTCTGATTTCACCACTACGAAGAGGAGAGCTCAGCTCCCAAATTCAGGCCCCAGCGAGTCCCTGTTGTAACCATCGCATGCGGCTGCCCGCCCTGCAGAACATGCTGGCATACTGTGCAGAGGCAAAGACAATATTTTATTGAAATGTCAGGGGTGTATGTTATTGGCATATTAGAGATGACCTTCTTTGTGACTCCAATTACGCTTCAAATTATTAAAAAAATGCACAGTAGGCTGGGGATGGTGGCTCACACCTGTAATGCCAGCGCTTTGGGAGGCTGAGGTGGAAGCATCACTTGAGGCCAGGAATTGGAAAGCAGCCTGGGCAACACAGAGAGACTGTCTCTACCAAACAACAACCAAAAAAAGTGCATGACAGTTCCACATGCATATTTTACATCTGACAGAAACTGTAAGAAACGAGAATCTGAAACACCTTCACGTAAGACTGTGCAGTCCCTGGTTACACAGATGTGACTGAATATTTCTGTGGGACTCTCAGCTTGCTGGTTCTCATTTCCATTCTGATTTCTGCAAGGTTCCACTTTCATGAATTCTAGTTTGCACTATGTATGTTGCAACCATTTGGAAAAATGAACAAAAAGAAGTATTTTTGCAGCGAATTAATTTATAAAGTTTTTATTTTGAATTCACCTCATTTCAATGGAGAAATGAGTATAAGATACAAAATAGAGTCACGAATAAAATAAAATGAAATAAAATGTGTATAATTGGTATTTCTATATGAACACAAATGCATGGATATGTGGTTCAATTGCTTAGCCTTAGTAACACTTTTATTTCTGAGAGTCCTTGCAGTCAAAGAAAAGTTGAAACATGATCAGTTACAAGACTCTCAAGGTCAATAATAGGTTTTAGAAAAAGCAATGGACACAGATGCTGCATGGTAAATTTGTTGTAGAGATTAGATATCAGCCCCAAATTTCTTTTTTTTTTTTTACAATGATGATGATGATGTTGATGTTAATAACCATTCTTGACGTTTACTGAGTGTTAATATTATATCTGCACTATTGTAGCACTTCCTATGCATTAACTCATCTCATCTTCACAGAAGCCCTAGGAGGTAATGCATTAGTAATATTTGCATTTTACAGAGGCAGGAAGACAGAACTGCCAAGATCACAAGGTATATTAGTTTGCAAGAGACATCAGAATAAAGTGCCACAGACTGGGTGACTTCAACAGCGGACATTTTTGTTTGACAGTTCTGGAGGACAGAAGTGTAAGACTAAGGTGTCAGCAGGGTTGGTTGGCTCCCTATGAGGGCTGTGAAGGAAGCCATCTATTCCAGGCCTCTTTCCTGGTTTTGCAGACAGCTGTGTTCTTCCTTTGTCTCTTCACATCATCTTCCCTCTACGTTTGTCTGTCTCCAAATTTCCCTTTTTGTAAGGACATCAGTCAAATTGGACTAGGGTCTCTCCCAACAACCTCATTTCAACTCCTTGTAAAGACCCTAATGTCCAAATAAGGGCTGGGTTCTGCAGTACTCAGTGTTTAAAAATTTAACATATGAGCTGGGAGTTGTGGTTCACACCTGTAATCCTAGCACTCTGAGAGACCAAGGCGGGTGGATCACCTGAGGCCAGGAGTTCAAGACCAGCCTGGCTAACATGGCAAAAACCTGTCTCTACTAATAATACAAAAATTAGCTGGGCATGGTGGCGGGTGCCTGTAATCCCAGCTACAAGGGAGGCTGAGGCAGGAGAATCGCTTGAACCCAGGAGGCAGAGGTTGCAGTGAGCCCAGATCACACCACTGCACTCCAACCTGGGCGACAGAGTGAGACTCTGTCTCAAAAAAACTAACTAAAAATAAATAAAAAATAAAATAAAATAAAAATTCAACATTCGAATTCTGGAAGATTCGCAGTTCAACCTGTAACACACGGCCAGGAGGTTTGCACACAGGCAGTCTGGCCCTGCACGCAGGCTCCTGGGCTACTCAGCATGTGGCCTGTGACCTGCAACCTCAAGCACCACCCTGGGTTTCCCTTAGTTCCTGGAAGACTTTTTTTTCTGTAAGTCTTCAGGAAGGTAAATTAATATAGGTAATTCATTCAAAGTAAAAATATCGCTCCATTAATGACGCAAATGCGTTTCGCTTATTTTTATTGGATTATTTTATTCTTCCCCTTTATTTGTCCTCCCTGGACATGAAGTCAGTCCTGTTGGGTGATAGGAAAAGGACGAGTGTGATCTCAGCGCTCTTAGGGAGAGGGTCAACACCCTGACACTGTCAGTCACACAGTTTCTCACAGGAACCATCAACTTCCCGCGGCTCCCTCCGCAGCTTTCCTGCGGCTCCACATGGGGCTGCTGCAGGGGAGACGCTGCCCTGCTGAGCTGTCATTTAAACTTATTCTGAAGATCCACAAAGCCCATCGCTTGCAGATACTAATCCCCAATCGTGAACATAGTAAAATATTTACTTGAACAAATTAAAATACTCTGTTCAATTATAATTCAGAATCAATCAATTACAATACTGTCAAAGTGTATTTTATGTAAATATTTTCTCTTTTGTTCCGGATTTTAATTATCTTCAATTTTTATTTGCAGAACATTTAAGGAAGTTTCTGTTTTAACCCAGCCTTGGAGGATTTTCATGACAAGGAATAGCTCATTGGATATCGTTTCTACCTTTTGAAATGACTACTTCTTATTTGCAGATTGTTTTTAAATGAAGAAAGGGAATAATTACTAAATAATTGCAAACCATTTTATAGCAGATTTGTTGCATACTAACTGACTATTTAGGGAGGTTAAACAAATGCGCTTCAAATTTTCACTTATTATAGGCTATTAATAAGCTGACTTTATTCTTTAGTTACAGGGCTTCATATTGAAGTCCAGTAACTATGACTTTGAGAAGAACCTTAGGTACCACAGCATGCAGGATTCATACCCACAGGTTTCCCTGTGAAACCTTTTCCAATCTTTTACACCATGCTTCAGCATCCTGTACCTCCTACTTAAAATAAAGAACGCTTAACTAGAGAAAACATGATGATGATAGCGTCATGCTTCCATTGTAACCCTGTCTTCATATTTAAATGCTGATACACGATTTCCTTCTTCATAACATAAAGAGATACCAAATACTCATTCAATACCTAACAATATGCAGCATTTATATCAACTTTGACTAGGCAGTCTTCCTCAGGTGGGTCCTAGAACACACACACACACACACACACTGAAAGCATATAAAATACAGATATAAAAATGTTTCAACAAAGATTACCAAAGCATGTTGAAACTGTATGGAGCATGCTCAGAAAATTCAGAGCCAAATGAGCAGCAATAAACACTGAAACCCTGTCAGGAGTAATTTCTGAAACCCTCAAAACAAAGCAATCAAACTGCAGTGAGAAACCCTGGAGTGTGTTCTTGGCCAAAATCTAAGAATTCGGCCAAGGTCAAAACCAAAAGTGTGTGTTGGAGTTCACCAGTTCTGTGATAATAATTTTTCCAGGACTCAGTTTGCTCATCTGTATGATGAGGGGTTAGCCTGGTTAAAATAGAGGGCCTAACCAATGTCCCGTCTCTGTAAGGGCAGCGATGTCGTGGAAGAATTTCTGAACTTCAGATGACTGCCTTTGCACCACATCCTCAGAATCATGAAGCAGCACGTCGTTTATCCTCGTGCATCTGGGCGCAGATGCTAGTTTTACATCCATTCATCACTACTGATCAACGTGAGTCCAAGTCATCGATCAGTTCTTTATCTAGAGATAAAATATGACAGGATAAGATCCTCTATGTGTGTTTATTTCCCAATTCCTTCATGACTGACATTCCATTTTCTCATCAGAATCAGTGCCCTCCATTTCTTCTTAAAGGATGGTATTTTGACACAAATGGAAATGATTTTTGCCTTCTGTGAGAAAGGGGATGTTTTTTCTACTTTCTTGGAGGTCAGTTTTCAAATCATGAATGATGAACTCACCAACTATAGTAGTGTCAGCATTTTCTTGACAGGGTCTTTATTTTTACCCTCCCAGAGACTTGGGAATCAGTTCATTCCTATCTAATGTGAAAACTCAAGGTTGTTTTCCTTTTACGCAAAATAACATTTTTTCTTAGAAATCACATAGATGGGCCAGGTGTGATGCCTCATGCCCGTAATCCCAGCACTTTGGGAGACCGAGGCAGGTGGATCACAAGGTCAAGAGATCGAGACCATTCTGGCCAACATGGTGAAACCCTGTCTCTACGAAAAATATAAAAATTAGCTGGATGTGGTGGTGCGTGCCTGTAGTCCCAGCTACTTGGGAGACTGAGGCAGGAGAATCCCTTGAACCTGGTAGGCAGAGGTTGTAGTGAGCCAAGATCACGCCACTGTACTCCAGCCTGGCCACAGAGCAAGATCCATCTCAAAAATAAGAATAATAATAATAAAAGAAATCACATAGATGAATTATAGAAGACATTTTATAGGAATATTATAAAATCTAAGAAAAAGTCGCAATATTGCAAAATTGCTGTAATACGGCAAATGACCCTAAACATGGGGTTTCATATGACGTTCATTAAATTTTATTATTTATACCGTACAATCCTATTAAATAATGAAATTAAAATAGTTTAACATGCTAAATTGTATGTTCTTTTGATCACTCTTTACAGGGTGGACAAAGAGTCCATTAAGAATAACCCTTTTTGAGGCCAGACAAGTTCAGTGAGTCCGAGCAAACACATTAGGAAGTGTCCTACCCCAGCGCTTCACAGAAACTGTCTCAACATTTGCCATTCTTAAAATAAGTCTCCCAAGTCCATTCATGATTCA